CAAACTTTTCCGTTTCAAATGAAGCATTTGACCCTGCATGTAAAAGGGCAAAATTGGGTCTTAATCCCTCATTTGTAGCTTCCCGGAAAGCACATCCTGCCGCATCACTGAATGCAATTTCAGCAGCTACAGAGATAGCAACAGCCACTGCTGCAGAGACAGCAACAACTTTCCTTGCTGCAGAGACAGCAACTAATGGGATGGGATCTCCCAACATTGACCTATCAAATGCTCGTCCCTCAGAGGAGGATGCCTTACGTTTATTTGGAGGGGCGCAATTTGATCCTTCTGATCCATCAGAGATGGAAAATGAGGCCCTACTGACCCCAGCTGGCAAAAATTATCGATGGAAAATTCGGCACAGAATTTGACCTGTCCAAACGGAAAGAAATTTTGGACAAATATCCCTCTCCTGAAAATTGCCAAACACTTTTTTCACAGAAGATAAATCCGGAGATCTGGGGTAAATTCAACCCTAACTCTAAACGGAATGACATAAAATTATCTGTTTTGCAAGATGGCCTAATAAAGGCCACATCAGCAGTCTCTGTTGCAGTAAGTGACCTCCTTTTTGCCAGAGAGCAAAAAACCACACCTGATTACAAGGCCCTTATTGGTAAATTAATTGATTCAATTGTTTTAATTGTCGTAAACAGGGAACTCACTTTTAAACGCAGGGACTCCCTCAGATCTTAGTGCAGAATTTAAGCAAGTTTGTTCCAGGAATATTAAGCCTGGCAATTTTATTTTTGGGGATGATCTACCTGAAACATTAAAGCAAATGAGGGCTACTAACAGAATTGTTAGCAGCGCTACCCCATTGTTATCTTCAGGTTTTTCTGCCCCTCGAAGTTATGGCCCCAGAACAGCCGCATCCCAATACCATCATGGTATAGCACCAACTACTCCACGTTACTCTTTTTTAGGGTATCGGGGGAGGCTGCCATACAACCCCCGCCAAAACAATCGGCAGCAGCAGTTCACAAAAAGAAGTTTATGAAGAACTAATTAAAGCTAAAACACAGGTAAATAATTTTCACAAGTTTGTCAGTACTTCCCTAATCCCCTATTTGCAATCTGAAGTTCAGTCCTTCAGTGCTGGACAGCTAGCCAATTTTATTTCAGATTGGAATGAAATTACATCTGATCCACAAATTCTTTGCACTATTTTTGGTGATAAGATAGATTTTATTGGCTACCCACCACAGCAGGTCTCGTACCCGCCAAACTTTATTTGCAAAGATCATGTCCAAAAGGCTGAAGAAGAGATCGTGTCACTTTTGGATAAAGGTGTCATTGTTAAATGTGAACATGAGCCTGAGGAATTCATTTCTCCTATATTTACTGTGCCTAAAAACGAGGATAACATCAGATTGATTTTAAATCTCAAAAAGTTTAATGAGTATGTGGAGTATGCACATTTCAAAATGGAAACTATTCACTCTATTCTTGCACTTGTTACACCCAACTGCTGGATGGCATCCCTTGACTTAAAGGATGCCTATTATAGTGTAAGGGTTGACATTGACCACCAGAAATATCTTAAATTTCAGTATAATGGACAGTTGTATAAATTCACCTGTTATGCCAATGGACTATCTTCATGCCCTCGAAAATTCACAAAGATTCTAAAACCCCCACTCTCTAAGCTTCGTCTCATGAATCATATTGTCACTGCATATATCGATGACTTGTATTTACAAAATGATAATTTTGAAGGCTGTGTGGAGACGGTTGTCGATACTACAATTTTGTTTGACAAACTTGGTTTTGTTATACACCAAGAAAAATCCCAGTTTGTACCATCACAACAAATTGTTTTTCTTGGGTTCATAATTGACTCTGTTGAAATGAAAGTCTATCTCACAGACAAAAGACGTCAGAAACTGTCCAATCATATAAATCATTTACTGCAGGATAGCAAAGATGTTACTATCCAATATGTAGCAAAAATCATTGGTCACATTGTCTCCAGCTTACCAGCAGTCCAGTATGGGCCTCTTTATTATAGGTGGCTTGAAAAAGATAAGTCAAGATCTTTAAAAGAAAACAAAGGGAATTTTAAAGCTACAATGTCACTTTCCCACAAGGCTAAATCTGATCTCAAATGGTGGTCAAATAACATTCAAACATGCTATAATGTTATAGTCCATCCCCCAATTACTGCAACTTTATATTCTGATGCTTCTCTGAAGGGTTGGGGGGCAGTACTAAATGATGTTTCGACTGGAGGACAGTGGTCTCCTCAAGAGGCTAGTTGCCATATCAACTATCTTGAACTTCTTGCCGCCTTCTTGACCATTCGAGCCTATTCTAAACTTCTCTCACACCAACATGTGAGAATTATGATTGACAATACTGCAGCAGTAGGAATCATAAATAACATGGGCACTTGCCATAGTGATACTTGTCATGAATTAACCGTTGCAATATGGCAATTTTGTGTGGTACACAATATATGGCTTACAGCTGCCCATCTCCCAGGCTCTACTAATATAATTGCAGACAGAGAGTCTAGATCATTTGCAAATCAAGATTCTGAATGGATGTTTAATTCCACTACTCTCTGCAAAGCATTAAAAACCCTTTGTTTTAAGCCAAGCATTGATTTATTTGCATCTAGACTTAACCACCAGTTTTCAAAATACTGTGCTTTTCGACCTGATCCAGATGCTGTTTGCATAGATGCTTTTTCTATTGTGTGGTCACACCTTGATTTTTATTGTTTTCCGCCCTTTAGCTGCATTCTGACAACGCTTCAAAAGATCAAGAGGGAAAAGGCTACAGGAGTCCTGATTGTACCAAAATGGCCAACACAGTCTTGGTATCCCATTCTATCCTCCCTGCTTGTCAGACCACCAGTAGTATTACCCCCATCTGCCCAGCATCTGTCTCTTCCAGCAGCTCCAGCCCAAAAACATCCCTTGTACAAGAAAATGACCATTCTTGTATGTTTATTGTCAGGGAAAAGTTAATGTCCCAAGGTCTATCCCCTGCTGCCATTGAAATAATAATGTCATCTTGGAGACAGGGTACCAAATCTCAGTATCAGTCATCCTTATTGAAATGGTTGGACTTTTGTATGGACCGCAAGATTGACTTTTTTGTCCCTTCAGTACCCCAAGCAATTGAATTCCTTTCCCATCTTTTCCACAATGGGTCATCATACAGTTCCATCAATACTGCAAGATCAGCACTTTCCTCATTCTTATCATTTGGTAGTGAGACCCCATTTGGGCAATTACCCATTGTTAAACGCTTCATGAAAGGAGTATATGAGTTAAGGCCTAACTTTCCAAAACATAAATATATTTGGGATTTAAAATTAGTTTTTGATTATTTTCGCAAGCAGGATTTTGCAGTACAGTTGAGCCTAAAGGACCTTACACTGAAAGTTACATTCTTGTTATTCTTATTGAGTGGCCAGAGATGCCAAACTATTCAATACTTGAATATTGATCATATGAAGAAGTCTTCAAATAAATATACATTTTATATAATGAAGAAAGTTAAGCAGTCTCGTGTAGGCAAGCATACAGGACCCCTGCAATTCTTATGTTACGATAATGATGATAAGCTTTGTGTTGTTCATCACCTGGATGAATATATATCCCGCACAAAGTTGTTGCGAAGCTCAGAGAAGCAGTTATTGATAAGCTTCACAAAGCCACATTTACCTATTTCTAAAGATACTTTATCAAGGTGGGTTAAGTCACTATTGTTTCTCGCAGGGATTGACACATCAAAGTTTACTGCCCATAGCACGAGGGCTGCCTCATCGTCTTACCTGGTCAGTAACAATGTGGGCATAGATGAGATAATGAAGTCTGTGGGATGGTCAAGTGAGGGTGTCTTCCAACGCTTTTATAATAAACCGTCAGAAGATCTCTTCAATTTTGGGGACGCTGTACTAGAAACAATTCATCGCGTTGACACAAATTAAAAACTTGATCTTTAGCTTATATATTTTTGTTCTATATTGCTTATAATCGTTATATAATTGTTTTCCAATGTAATTCCATGATTAATTTTTATCCCTGACGATACAAGGGTACAGAAATATATTGGTTACTATTTCTGTCTAGTGTCTTCTTTAACAGTCTTGCAATGTCACCTCTAAAATCTCGTACAATTACGTAATGACGTAGGCTGGTATTGAAATAGAATTTAAAATTAACTGATACTTACCTGTTAGTTGAAGGTTGATTGAAATTCTATGAGTTACCAGCCAGGAGTGAAGGAGTTGTATGCCCTCCCATATTGTAACCCCACCCAACTCCTTCAACTCCTGTGACATTGCAACACTATTTGCTCTTAAGTCTGGTTGGCGCATACGCGGCACTCTCTCTCGTACAACTCCTTCACTCCTGGCTGGTAACTCATAGAATTGCAATCAACCTTCAACTTACAGGTAAGTATCGGTTAATTTTAAATTTTGGGCAAATATGGAGAGTCACTGAAAGGCAAGCTTATTATGCAGACATATGATGGAGCCTCTGTAATGTCTGGACACATTTCTGGTGTACAAAAGCTTCTGGTGTACAACAACAACAAGGGCAGATAAAAAAACATAATTATAAGAAGCTTTTTTTCAAGTTATTGACAACATGGCAAATATGTTGAAAGATCGTTTTGCAGATTTCAAAAGTTTTGAATTCTTGGATCTGGTGAATCGTCATTTTTTTCTCAGTGGAAGGATAGTGTACCTGCTGGCAAATTGGAGCTTTTGAGAGTAGAATATGGTCCTCTTTTTAACATCCCAGCACTTGAACAGCAGCTTTTATTCATCTATAGAGATTTGGTTTTCCACCAGAGCAATGCACAAGAATTGTTAGGGTAAATTAATCATTTTCATTTGCAGACAAGCCTTTCTGAAGTATACAAGCTTTTGTTGATAAATGCATCAGTTGCAGTGTCCAGTGCATCTTGAGACAAAGAACTATCTTGAGACAGGAATGAGAACTATCTGTTTTCTGAATATATACGGTACATGTTGCTGATTAAGAACCTTTTTGTTCTCCATGTTCAGGATTATTTGGTTTCACACATTTTTGAATACAAACTTCTGCGTGCATCAGTTGTATCATCAAGCTTTTGGCTACACCAATGCAATGATCTCTGAACTCGTGTGATGAAATCAATGACCTCCATATGTCCTTTGACAAAATACATTCAGGTGATGTGTATACCAGAGAATAATGTCCTGCTTGAACAGTTCCAATTTTCTCAGCCAGATTTATGACGTGGTCGTGAAGAGCAACTGCTGATACACCACAGTCAGACATCTTTCTAACTTGATCTTCCATCAGTGCTTTTAGCGGGCTAACAACGATTAATGTGCTAATTCCGTAACATTGATTCTCCAAAGCATCAACGACAAACGGTAGGGCTTGGAAACACAGCGACTTACCATAACCTGTATTGGCACTCATATACACGTCATAACCATTTATAAAGCCTTTATGACTACACTGATCATCGTAAATCTTTGCAATATTAAAAAGGTAGCAATTGAATTTGATAGCATCTAAAAATTTACTTTCATTGTATGAAATAGCTCGCTTTGAAATAATTTGATCCGCCATTTTGCCATCACTTACCGTATTGTGCGGATAAATTAACTCCACGATTTTGTGGAGCTGCATAAATTATCCGGACAAGAGAATCGCCCGTAGCGCACAGACCATACACTTCACTGAAGTTTTTGGTCTGTGACGCAGGCTAAATGACCACCAGCAAGACCACCAACATCACAACTAAGATTACAGCTCGTCAGTCTCTAAGATCATGCGTATCTCCATCACCAAGACCAACAAACAAAAGGCCAGCACGAAAAACAGAACACAACTGAGAAAACAAGCAAGACCACCAAAGACCACAATGATCACCAGCAAAACCACCAACATCACAACTAAGATTACAGCTCATTAGTCACTAAAATCACAAGCATCACAATCACCAAGGCCACAAACACAAAGACCAGCACAAAGAACCGTACACAACTTAAATAACAAGCAAGACCACCCAAGACCACAATGACCACCAAAGACCACCAGCAAGACCACCAACATCACAACTAAAATTACAGCTCATCAGTCACTAAAATCACAAGCATCATCATCACCAAGGCCACAAACACAAAGACCAGCACAAAGAACAGTACAAAACTAAAATAACAAGCAAGACCACCCAAGACCACAATGACCACCAACAAGATGACCAAAATGACAATCAAAACAGCAACCACACCACATCAACAGCTATCAGCTATCACAACAACACCACACACAACATTTAACTACAACTCCTACTCACCACCTTCCCAATCACTAGAACAACAAGAATCACATAAACCACCAAGAGAATAACAACCAAGAGCACTACCACAAAGACTGCAAACATCACAATCAAGACCAAACCTCCTCAATCACTAGGAGCATAAGCATCAACTCAATCACCACAGAGGCCAGCACGAAAAACAGAACCCCAACCAAGACCACACTACAACCATATCAAATATCACCACCACTAATAAGAACACCACTACAACCACAAAGACCACCAAACAAACAAAAGGTAAATTTATATTCACAAAAAATATGCTTTCTTCTAACATTGCTCAAAATCAACAAACTTAACTTAAAATTTATTGTGAAAATTTTTTATAGCGTTCAAGATCAACTCCACCAAATACAGAGGACAAGGAGAGAACATTTCAAAATTGGAAGTACTAAGAATGGAGTTGGTGATGTTACAAAAAGAAAATGAAAAACTTAAGAGAGAAATCTTGGAAACAACCCTTGCTAATAAACCTGGCAGCAAATTTACAGTCTAATATTATACTTTTTCGGTCTGAATTTCTTCAATTGCTCTAACCTACCTGCAACACATTAAAAACAAAAAAATTAAAAGAAAATACAAAGTCATTCATGTATTTCAAATACATTTTTAATGTTATTTATTGGTAATTGAGGCTGATTATGGTCCTTAAGCAATCTAATAACAATACATTGTCTTTCTTAGCACAAGTAGTATTGAAAATAATGAAAAGATTCCACAAGAACTTTGCACTTATGGAGGAAGCACAGCAGAGAGAAACCCATCAGCCTGATAAAATGAAAAATTTTGCAGATAAAAAAGCACCAGGCCTGTTTGAATTAATTCAGAATTTGATTGTGTCAAAGTGTTGCTGAAATACAAAATGAACACACTAATCAACGAGCTGTTAGCCTTCTACTACAGAATCTATTTTTGAAATGAGGTGATCAATCATATGTGTAACTAAAAAGATGATTTCTCTGAATTTGTGCTGAAAATTAACAATAAGTGACAAAACGTTTCTTTTAATACTACACTGTAAAGTAACTATATTTTATTTGACAATATTTGGAACATTATCATTCTTTAATTGTTTTCATTTCAGCGTCTCAATTGTCTTCAAACTGACTGTGGTTTATACCTGCATGGATGTTGCTTATCTCAGCAAGGGCACTTAGCAGGTTTTTATGGGATTTTCTATTCACTCCAGAACCATTTATAACAAAAGGAAACAGCGTGCTGATGAAAATAGATCAATTGTTAGATCAAAAATCGACTTAACTATCGAGGTATGTATGTGGATGTCGAAGAAGAGAGTGATAAAGACATTGATGGTTCATCAGCTGATTCGCTAGGCTTAAGCAAAACGGAAGACAGTGAGAGGGAAGAGAGCGATGAGGAAAACATCACAGAACAGGGCAATTGGACAAAGAATTTGAAAGACTTTGTTCAAGTTTACTTCACCAGTTGGTCCAGCAAAATCCCTGGGTGAAGATGCAAGTGAGATGGACTTTTTCGAACTTCTCTTTCCTCTAATGGTTCCAGACAATGATTGGTATCCAACAACTGTCGAAGAAGTCAAACTTCATCTGGGAATCAGAGTTTATATGAGCATTGTGAACTTTCCATCATTTGTGCAATATTGGAGCAAAGATTCAGTATTTGGAAATTCCTTCATTTCAAATCTGATGTCGAGGAATAGCTTCCAAAAAATTAATGAATACTTTCATGTTGCTGATAGGACAATGATGCCACCCAAAAGTTTGCAAGACTTTGATAAACCATTTTTAGTGAGACCTGTTTTTGATGCTGTTCGCAAAAATTGTTTGAAAGCATATAACCCACATAAATGTTTTGCTATTGACGAGGCCGTGAGAAAGTTTAGAGCGTGTTCCAGCTTGAAACAGTATTTGCCTGTCAGAAACAAAACAAGCTAATATGCAAAGTCTAAAATTTCAATGGAACAGAACACTATAAACACAATTTATATTTAGGGTTTTTTTCTTTCTTGTATAGGAAACCTTCAAAATAAATGGTAAAGTCTGCACTGTGAAACCAAAATCTTTTGCAGAAACAAAACAAGCTAATATGCAAAGTCTAAAGTTTCAATGGAACAGAACACTATAAACACAATTTATATTTAGGGTTTTTTTCTTTCTTGTATAGGAAACCTTCAAAATAAATGGTAAAGTCTGCACTGTGAAACCAAAATCTTTTGCAGAAACAAAACAAGCTAATATGCAAAGTCTGAAGTTTCAATGTAACAGAACACTATAAACACAATTTATATTTAGGGTTTTTTTCTTTCTTGTATAGGAAACCTTCAAAATAAATGGTAAAGTCTGCACTGTGAAACCAAAATCTTTTGCAGAAACAAAACAAGCTAATATACAAAGTCTAAAGTTTCAATGGAACAGAACACTATAAACACAATTTATATTTAGGGTTTTTTTCTTTCTTGTATAGGAAACCTTCAAAATAAATGGTAAAGTCTGCACTGTGAAACCAAAATCCTTTGCAGAAACAAAACAAGCTAATATACAAAGTCTAAAGTTTCAATGGAACAGAACACTATAAACACAATTTATATTTAGGGTTTTTTTCTTTCTTGTATAGGAAACCTTCAAAATAAATGGTAAAGTCTGCACTGTGAAACCAAAATCTTTTGCAGAAACAAAACAAGCTAATATGCAAAGTCTAAAGTTTCAATGGATCAAAACACTATAAACACAATTGATTTTAAAGTCTTTTTCTTTATCATATATGTAAACTGTAAATTAGATTAAACTATGAAGTCAAATTTAATGTTATGATCTTGTTCTAAGACTGATGCTTCATTTTCTAGATCATCAATATCTTGGACTTGTTCAATTGTTGTCTCAAGAATATTGCTATTGAAAACGTCATGCCTTTCCTGGTTACCTACAAAAGCTAGGAAACTATTGATGAGTACTTGGTATTCCGGGCTTCCCAAAAGTTCTTCACTTTGTGTGTCTGAATGGTGTTCCTTACATGGGCATTCAACAGGGCTATCTGACTCATTAGCATCATCTATTTCAATTTGTAGTGCTTCATCAATGTTCCTGATGACAATTTGTCCACTTGATCCTACGTTCAAGTTTAAAACTGGTCGTAAGCCATCTTCACATCATTCAAATCCATGCATCAGTGAATCTAAGTAATGGATGGTTTTTTTAAAAATTTGACTATATTCATGGGCTTGGAACACTAACCTCAAAAATATTCCATTCAGTGCTCCAGCAACAGGTGGAAGTTTATTTAACTGGCCGCAAGAATATTGGTAGCCAGTGTCCCTTAAAAGTTTTGAAGTTTACATACCACCAGACACAATCAATACACATTTCGAAGCTTTCTTATTAATATTCTGTATATGAAAAAATAAATTCTTGCATACACCAAGAAAAAAGATTGCTTGCAGTCCTTATTTCCAATTAGTTGATTTGTATTATACAAGGGACGAAAGGATACCTTTCTCACAAGCTTCTTTGTAAACATTTAATGCTTATGGCTTTGTTATATGTCCAACACCAAGATTTTTGTCATTCCCTCTAAAAATGCTCAATGCACCTAGGCTTTCAATGATGCATGGTATAGTTTTAAAACTCTCTGAATCCATTATGTTGTCAAATAATAGCTGAACATTGATGTAAAAATTCAATTAAATCTTTGAGCATGACTTTTTGAATTCAGCAATCTCTTTTACTTTCTTAGTTGGTTTTTTTGTTTCTATGTCTACAGACTTACTATGGATGGAACAAAATAAATTGAATAATGTCTAAGAAAATTTTTAATTATTTTGTGTTCTAACAAAAGTATTGTCACATTATCTGCTTCTGGGCAGTGCTTTATTACTAAGCTACCTCTTGCTTCATCTTACAAGATAAAAATGTGCTTAATCCATAGAATACTGCAGTATCAGTCTCAGCATTATAGCAAGAATAATCATGCAATGAAGCAGATATATTTCCAAAATAATCAACACTATAGGCAGCAGAAATCCCACAGTTGCCATCAATGACCACATGTGTAGAGTTATGAGGCAAATACATTCCTTTGGAGGATTCTAGGTTTTTACAAAAGCGGGCATATCTTTTTTAATTTTGAGACATCCAAAGTCTCGTTCAAGCCACCTAGTTTTGTAACATTTCATTTGCTCCTGTTGATATATCTGAATACCACTATACTGAAGAAGTGAAACATGGATTGGTGCTCATGTCACCCTAGTGCACCTCTTAGTCTGGTCAGC